GACTAGCCAGAAAATGGACTCTGGACTCCAGACATAAGCCTCAAACAGATTTTCCAACAACGTACAGTTCAAGAGACCTTGGAACTCGATTATGAATTGTGATTATCAACTCATTAAAAGATTGACCACGTACAGCTGTTATCATTGCGCTCATTATAGTAAAAAAAGTCAATGTACAGTATGTATTGAAAGAGGACTTTTTAGGAGACTCGACAATTTGTTGGTCGATATCTTGTAAAAATGTCGAACATCTAACTGGATCTCTGTTGTTTAAAGGATAAATGAGAGAAGTAAATAAATAATATAATAAATTAAATTTCAGCTGTGCTTCATTTGAATTGTGAGGAAGCATGAAATTCTTTCTCAAAGTTCAAGAGCATAAGCTAAATACAGCAAAAGGTATTGGTTTCTCTAAGGAAATGATTGCTTCTTTGGACTTCATTTTTCCATCATTTTTTCTTTTGAAAAAAATACAACCAGGTGTTTCAGAAATTTTTAATGCTGGGAATCGTTTTTTATTTCTGAATCTATTTGGAATTCTTCATAAAGATATCCTAAGTTAAAACAGCCACATATTTACCCATTAGCTGAAATGATATATACTCGCATAATCTTAACTGATATGACCTTGTACACCCCTAATCCAGGCACCCAACCTTCCAACTTGGACAGCACCAGCCAAATCATATTGAATTATTCAGTCCCTATATTCGTGCAGCCACAAACTCTGCATCTTTGTCACAAATTCTATTTATTTAGCCATGCCAAATCACATAGATAATGGTTGCGCCTTTGAACTATTCACCATATAATAATTTGCATTAAAAAATCCAACATGAACTTGGTCCCACTTCATTAAGCAGTGCAATCATGTGCATAATACTTCGATGTTTATGCAAGCGCGATTAAAAATTTATTATCTGCAAGATAAACGATCTGCTTTCATCATTCCTTCGGTCTCATGAAAGCAGAACTCAATCTCACACACCCAATTGCCATATACGCAAGAAAAAATCTACAAAAACAAAATTCCAGGGGTATTAAGCCTAATATTCTGATACATACTTTTTTCAGAAGATTAAACTCATCTCAAGACAAATCCACCACTACAACACACAATCAAAAGATTAACAGTGCCCATTCAACAATTTTACTTAGTCAGTTCATGCAACTGATTCACTGAATGCCCCATGGACACAATTTAACTTGTCATTAATCCTTACTTTGCTGCATATCTCCATTCTAAAACCCCTAGTGAAACAAACCTCTGTTATTAACAACAAAACGTCCTTAAACTTTAATTTTCAACAAAATACCAAAAAATTGAGACAAATTCCACCGCCTACAGCTCACAAGTCATATCAGATTGCAAAATCACAAATTGCATTTAATAACAAATGAGAAAAAAAAAAAATCAGCCACCCCTCTGATTCAGTAACCCATACACGCGTATACGTATGCATATATAGAAAAGTACTTGCCTTTTCGTTCTTGAAGCGAGTGCGGATATTTCCGAGCTCTTTATCGACGCGGAGGCGCTCCAGCTCCTTGTTCTGACAATTCCGAATATCGCTTATGAACACCGACAACCCTCTCATCCCAGACAACGCCATCCTCAATCTGTCTCAGATCCAAAGCCCGAGAGATCACGTCACTACCCCCAGATCCAACGGCCCTCAATATACAGCAACAGATCTCAGTCAACTTCAAAAATTCAATTATCAAAAATCCCCTTTTACACTGTTGCCAGTATAACTTGTACGAAATCAAGAGGGTGTCATCTAGGGAGAGTGCAAAAGCCGTCGGACAGTGGAGGGAGGCACTTTAATTTAGCAGTATTTATTTTTCATTTTTTTTTTCTTTTCTTTTGAGAATTAATTGCAGAATTTTCCTTTTTGTCCCTGGTCTGGGTCGTCGTACGTGTGGACCCCGGTCCGTTGAATTGAGGGGTTTCGGGTTTATGGGTTGACCGGTTACAAGAGCTTTGTCTAATGATGACCAATGATAAAGGCACCTCCCTCAAAAAGGCCATTTCTATTTCTATTCTAGAAAAAGTTAAATGCCTCTTAGCAAAACAAAAGGAAAAAGAACTGCAACATTTCGCTATCGATCTTCAATTTATTGTCGTCTTAGTCTTTTGTTTTTTAATTTTTTTTTAATTGTTGTATAATTAATATTTGGTAGTAGAAAATGTCGATTACTTATTGAATTGATACGTGAATAACACGGAAAGATCATCTAATGTTTTATCAAGTGCTTGTTTGGTAGGGATTTTTGGGGGATGAATTAATTTTTGAACAATGATATGATGGGAAATGCGTGGTTGAAAAAGAAAAAAAAATTATTGATGTGATGGAAAATTTTATTTTATTGAAAAATGTGTAATTGAAAATGAGAATTGATTTACTGTATAATTTGAGAATCAAAAACAAACACCCCCTAAATATAATTGCTTTTTTTCGAAAAACGTGGACTGGCTGTGAGGTTAGATCTTTTATTAAGGTGCAAAAAACATTGAGTGCTTGTTTGGTAGGGATTTTTGAGGGAATAATTGATTTTTGAATAGTGATATGATGAGAAATGTTTTATTGAAAAAGAAGAAAAAGTTATTGATGTGATGAAAAATATTATTTTATTAAAAATGTGTGATTGAAAATGAGAATTAATTTGAAAATCAATTCTCAAATAAAAAACAAACACCCCTTGAATGTATGAATCATTACCTTTAAAAAAAAATAGATATAAATTTAAAAAGAGTTGCGAGGCCCATCATGTCGCTCCACCGTGCTGCAGACTAATTTGGTAGTGAAATGCTATGGCACCAAAGGTGTCATTTTCACACAAGGAAATGGAAAATTGTTATATACTTCGTCCCTATTGGTTTCGGTAAAATTTGAATTTATTAATAAAAATGGATGAAACATATTGTTAAAAGTTAATAAAAATTGTAAATTCCATCAAACCCCTGTTTGGTATACATTCTTTCAAAATTTATTTTCAACAACAAATTTTTCAATAAAATAATATTTTCCATCACATTAATAATTTTTCCTTACTTTATAACCACATATTTCCCTTCATATCACTATTTAAGATACATTATCTCATCAATAATATTCATCAAACACATTGTAAATGTATATTTCAAATTTAATATTGATTTTTTATTTAATTTTTTATAATTTCTTTAATTAAATAAAATATGAGCTTAAATTATTTGCTTAAATGGTCCTAATGTGAGAAAATTTATGTTAAATTTTACTATATGTAATCTACATGTTGGGTGCGCTTTAGCCTTTAGGTGTTTTATAATATCTTTATGCAGTGGTAGTGACAATGGCAAGCGAAAATGTATGTTTGAATTAATTATACTTTAATTTACTGTTGATCATATATTTTTTTTCTTTAATTTTGTTTAATCAAATACAGGTGAAAATGGTTTCAAGCAACCATACTTTTAATTTTAATCGAATATTACTATAATTAAATTAAAATTAAAATAATTTTGTTTATTTCATTGACATAAATATATGATGACAGTTGAAAAATAATGATAATCACACTTAAATCATTAGTTTTTGACCCGAAATATGAACAATTCCAATAGAATAAATGAAGAAACTACCGTTTCATCAAATTTCGTTAGTTTTGGCGACGAAATTGAACAGAAATGCAAGATTGAATCAAATTAAGGTGTAATTACTCAATTGAACCAAAATTAAAATACACGACTCGATTAATATTAGAGTAAATTATAGCAATCAAATTAAAGTGTAATTATCTAATCGAATCAAAATAAAAGTACGTCACCAATAACAAAATTCCGAAGAAACGAGGCTGTCTTTCCTTGTAAAATACAACAGTACACCCCCCAACGGAGTGTTAGTAAAAGATATTAGACATACAATATCCCTACAACTGTACGCTGCTAGCTGGAGATAAAAAGTAGCACCACATATACGAGAAGGAACCATATAAAAGATAACTATGAGATCCTCGTAAAGAACGTTTCACAACACAGTAAGAGAACCCCAGCATTACTTTTTTTTTTTAACTTGCAACGGGCTTTGAAATGGCCTTCTTGATAGCTTCGGCATATGTTCTGTGTTGGTAAGTAAGAGTCGATTCGAGTAGGTCCCAAAGTGATGTCTTCGGATTCCATCCTGGCAATATCATGATTAGAACTTAGTATAAGAATTTTGCGAACATACTGTGTTTTTAGAAACAAGTTATTACCAAGTTGTCTGTTAATAATAGTCATGTCTGGAATTCTCTTGTCACTATCATCATATCCTTCACCATAAAATTCTTTGGAGCTAACATCGATGGTAGGTGTTTCCAGTGATGATTCTCCACTAACCTTTGAGTAAACCTACGAGCATGCAAGAACAAAAGTTATGTTGAGAGAATACATATAGAAAGTAGCGGGGGGGGAAATAATAAATTGATTCGTGGAAAAGATATATATGAAAGATGATATTCAAATCACCTGTGTCATCATTTCAGCAAGTTGCTTCACTGTAACTTCATTGTTGGGGTTGCCCACATTGAATATTTGACCATTAGCCCTGGCTGGATTTTCCTGAGTAAAATCTCGAGGTCAGCTACTAATTCCACATGCTAAAGTTAAACAGAAGTATTAGGGGAAAAACTTGACATACAATCATCAATAGAACAGCTTCAATAGCATCCTTTATATAAATAAAGGTTCTCTGTGATTGGCCACCATCGACAAGCTTAAGTGGTTCACGCCTTAGGAGATTCTGCACAACACAAGAGGATTGCCAAAAAGAAAATAAGATGTGTGGAAATCGCAAGTGTGAATTTCAATTCTGTAAGGGGAAAATCAACTTACATTGCTAAAGCAGGCTAGAACTCTTGGAACACCTTCACTGGGACCGTCGATTCCAGGTATGAAATCCATTCGGGGACCAATCCAGTTGAAAGGCCTCACAATGGTAAACTCGAGACCATTCTCAGCACCCTCGGCTATGGAATAATCGAGTGAGGAATAAATAATGCAGGTTCCCATACCAAAACAACAAGAGCTATCAACTTAAGTTCACTTACCATAAATCAATCTCTCAATCAGTTGCTTTGCACATGCGTATGACCATCTCTGCTTCTCAATTGGGCCAAAAATGCAAGGGGAGGCATCTTCTGAAAGAACATAATATGCAGGATCCTGAAAACAAGTAATGATTCAGAAGATTTTCTATGAAAAATTATATTAAATATGTAAGACTCCTTTGCTGACAACTTGCAAAACAGTAGGCAATTTCGTCCTCTGATTTTTACACTTGACGTTCAAAGTCCTCAATGAAAAATCAATCAACATAACCCATACTGTGTATGTCCAAATTTCAGTAAAAATACAACCAAAAGAGGCAATGCCAAAAATCTCAGTGACAGGACAGGTTATCAACAGAAAAAAGTTTCAATCCCTCCTAGATACCATCATACCAACAATCTAGTAAAACAACCATGTCAAGGACACCTCGCAGAAGTAGAGGAAAATAACACAGGAGCAGTTCTGAATAAACAGGGGGAAAAACATGCAGTGGATGTAGCATGCATGTCTAGTATCTTACTGAGTGTTACAAGAAAACAAGCAAAAGAAGTATGCAAACAAAGAAAGATTGTGCAGCACCCAAACTGCTGTAGACAAAAGTACACAACTTTTATTTTGGCCCTGTTTGAGCCACATTATTTTTTTTATTCTCATTCTTCTACTCATTTTCAACCACACATTCTTCAATAAAATAATATTTTCCATCACATCAATAATTTTTCCTTCTATTTCAACCACATATTCCCCGTCGCATCAACGGTAAAAATACATTCTTATAACCAAAATATGCTCCAAACAAGGGCTTTATTATACATTTCACATTTTTCTACGGATGAATCATCCACCCATCCCCATTTCCCTCTCAATCTCATATAATTTCATTCATTCCGAGTTATTAGTAAGTTTTATTAGTTCAATGAACAAAAATAAGCAAGAGAGTACTATTTGAAATTGCCCGGCCAGTATATTTTTAAGTATATGAAGCATGGAATCTTCAAATCGCAGAGCTATTTCCACTTAATTAGATCGTACATCATATTGTATTTCACTTACATAGGTAGAGTACAAAATTGAGATAAAAAAAAATACATACGAAACTCAAGATATACTCTACCCTTGTATGTTTTCCATAAATGGTGGAAATGATGTGCATAATATTCAAAAATAATCTCAATATGCAAGTATCCCTTAAAGCTCGCTGTTAGTGCTTAAAATAAATACACCAACCAATTTATTACACAGATAAGAAACGAGAGAAGAAACAGTCTTCTGTTTGTAATTTTTTTTTTTTTGGCCTAATAAACATGGAGCAGATATACTTGAGGTAAGATATTAATGTGGTGCAAAGAAGGGAAACCAAAAGCAAAACAAAATTGTTTATGCAAGTACCAGTACATTGAAATCACATAACAGCTACAAAGACTGCATAGAAAATTCTTTTGATAGGTGCATAGAAAATTCTGAAGAGAACAAGTCCTTTTCAAATTCAATTAATTCCCTTTACAGTAACTAGACACAGAAGTCAAAAGAGAGTGCAAAATATCTAAAAGTATAAAAATAATGATCAAGAAAATCACAGATCTGGACTCCGCAAAAGTAAGTTTTTTCAAACAAGTGAAAGAAAAAGGAAAGCAAAAACTAACCTGCCGCAATGGACTATCTTTTGGCAAGAAGCAACCAATTGTTTTCCCATACACTTCACAAGTGGAGAAGTGTATGAGACGTTTGCTATTTTCTGAACAGTACTTCACCTAAATCCACAAAACCAATATTACATCATACATCAATTCAAAAGTGAGTATTAACCAAGATTTTATAGAATATTTCCATTAAATAGTAAAGACATACCACTGGGAGAGCATCAATGAAGTTGCTGTAGATAGTATCCAGAGGACGTGTGTTATAATCCGCTGGAGTGCAAATCGCAGCAAGATTTATTGTCTGCATTACAAGAAATATAAAAGATTCACATCCCAGACAGCCTCATCGAAAATCCATGAAAGATACGAAGCTCAACAAACGCTAATACAGCTTAAAAGGAATAAAAAATTGAAAGCAAAAAACAATTCCCAAATTCAATATAAAATATATAAAGTGAATATTGTGTATGAAAATGACAGTAGAAACAGAACAAAGAAACCTTTAGGTGCAAACTATAGGTCATAAAAAGAGTACAAAATTAAGACCTCAAAAGACCTAGAGATCGCACTAAAGTTCCAGACACTTGCGAGAGTCAGATCAAGTAAAACTCAATTACGAAAATCAAAATTCAATGTGAAATTTCGAAATTCCGAAGGATAAAAATTACTCCAATGTGAAACAAAGCCGATGAAAAATAAATAATGGCACGAGAAATTGCAAAATAAAGCCACGGTACCTCATATCTAGATCCGAAATTCATGCAATGAGAAAAAAAAATGCAGGATTTTATTCAAGAAGAAGATCAAAGAGATGGAGGATTACAAGATCTGCCATCTTGATGAGACCTTCGAGGCGAGAATCGTTCTTGATGTTGAGTCGGTGGAACTGGATGCGATCGGCCCATGGGAGCTCACCCGAGGCAGAAGGCTCCAGCAGGTGCTTGATCTTATCATTATACACGTCAACAGCGAGCACCTTGTGCGGTGTCTCGCTCATGAGCTTCTCGCAGAGGTGTGAACCGATGAAGCCGCCAGCGCCGATCATGCAAATAGTAATAGACTTTATTAGATTCCCGTCCAGATCTACTCTTTCACTCGCCATTTTTGAACTTCGCACTAATTTCTTCGATAATACAGATTGGGAGATTTTTCTGTAAATTTGTGATTCAATTATGGAGTTTAAAAGGGGGAGAATGGATGCATTTAAAGGTGGAAATGGAGGGAGACAGTTTCTCAGAGTCCGTGGCCTTACGGCAAGCATTTTCACACGTCTTGTCAGTACTCGCGTTAATACAGAATTCTTTTTTTACTCTCTATATTTTGATGCCACGTTACATTTTTTTTTTTTTGAAATATGTTATGTGTACATAAAAATACACATAACATTTGACATAATGGCCAAATGGCAGCCCCCTACTGGGGGGGAGTGCCTGTGGGCCCAGGCGCCCCCCAATAGAGGGCTACCATTTGGCTATTATGTCAAATGCTATGTGTATTTTTATGTACACATAGTATTACTCTTTTTTTTTTTAAGTCCATGTTTAGTGCACATTAAAATTTTCATTTTTATTTTTCTACTCATTTTAACTACACATTTTTCAATAAAATAATATTTTCCATCACATCAATAATTTTTCCTTCTTTTTCAACCACAAATTCTCTATTAATTTACTATTTCAGAATACATTCTTCCAAAATAATGTGGATCATACACACCCTAAATACATTGCGCTAAACAGAGAAAATGCATTTGTACAGAGGAATTCCAACAGAATTTAAACAGAAAATTCACATGAGTGTGGGCTCCATGTGAGTTTAAAATATTAAAAAAAAGGGGTCCCACCTGATATGTCTAATCGGTTGAATTTATGTGTTACACAAGAAATGTGTGTCGTTTTAAGCAATAAATATTGTAGGGTCAATGAGAAAGAAATATCATTCAAAACAAGAAAGTATTAATCCACGTTACACCCGGATGTATATAATGCTCGAATGACATTATATCATTGATCGATGGGAAAAATGTTGTACATATATAGCAAAGTCCAACACGAAATATAGCGAAAATGTTAAACACGTGTAAATGGAAACTATCTCCAAACAATTACAGTGTATTTGATTGTCTTTATTTTTTTTTATAGAAAATATCATTTTTCACCCAAATTTCTACTTTTTGGTGCTTGATTAACAACTTTTTTCATAAAAAGTGTTTTTCAACTTTTGGCCATATGACCATATTTTCCAAAAAAATAAGGAAAATATTTTTTTAGGGATGAATGGTTTTTATTTTTCAAGCATTTCACCCTCTCTTTTTCTCTCACATAGTTTTAGGGATGATTGGATGACCTTGATGAAATAAAATTAAATTGAGTAGTCATTGTGACATTAAATATAAAGCTAAGTGGTCGCGATGAACCAAGTATAAAGTTGTGTGGCCACCAGTTAATTTAACCTAAATATATATAGTTCTCCTTATTTTTGGGGAAAACACTTTCGTTAGGGGTAGGATTTTCTTTTCTTGCCTCCATGAGATATTTTTCATTCATTCGATGGCGGAGGCAAAAATTTTGAGTTAAAGAGCACAATCAAATTCGAAAAAGGTTGTGAAAAAAGTAAAGTATTTGATATCTTATTACCTCAAAATTTTTAAAAATTCATATCTTGTCACAAACAACAAATAAATTATTTTGACATAAACAAGCAAGACACCATTTACTTCAATTTGAATCATTAAGCCCGTATTTGGTGCACATTTTGAGTTCAATAATGTATTTTTTTGTATGATGTAATGGAGAATATGTGGTTGAAAAAGAATGAAAAATTATTGATGTGATGGAAAATATTATTTTATTGAAAAATATGTTGTTGAAAATGAGTAAAAGAATGAGAATAAAAAAATAATTTGACTCAAACGGGGGCTAAATTTCAATTTGTATCAATTAAGTTACCAAACATTAATTTTGCCCTCGTTTGACAGCCATTAATTTCTCTTTCTCTTTCTCATTCATATTCTCATTCTTCGTTTCAACTACACATTCTCCAAATAAAATAATATTACACACAAATAAAAAAAAATTCATCACTTTTTAATCACACATTTTCACATCAATCAATATTCCAAAATTTATATTCTCCTCACAATTAGATTCAAACACAAGCTTTTGTTTCAAATTTCACCACTCTTTCATATTTCATCACTCGATGTAACCCAACTGAAAGAAAATGATATTGGTCATAATTGCTTCTTGGAATGTCAACTCGTTACTCCTCCACGTAAAAAATGAATAATGTTATTCAACACTAGTTTATGTGACTATATTTAATTGGTCTAATTAAATGGATCATTTGACTTTATATTTAAATGAATCTATCATTTGATGACACATATTTGACATCTAGACTAGACCTTGTATGGGAGGGATTAAAATCGGATTAAAATTGAAAATATAGCCGTTATTGTTGACTTTTATTCGACGAGTGGAACCCAATAACGGCCATATTTTCAATTTTAATTGGATTTTAATCCCTCCCGAACGGGACCTAGTGATAAGCACTCCATTAAAAAGTATTAAAATAAAAAAAATGTATAACTTGTCGAATAATATTTCTACAGTTATCTAAAGATGATTTGAAATGCCACAAAGTAATTACATGAGATATGTTACAGATAACTATCAACTAAGCAATTTTCGTAAATTTGTGTTAGGAAAGGATAATGTGACACATATTGATTAGTTATCAGAAGCTAAATAAAGTTAAACGATCGGTTGTGACAAATTAAAATTTAATATTTCAATTAAAATTTCGTTCGGAATTCAGTGACGAAAAATAAAAATTCAGAAGGGTTTTAATTGATCTAATTTTCTCATTAAAAAAATCTTGAATTTGGTAGGTAACGTGACCCATCAAAACTCCCGTGTCAGCCATTGCACCTGTTTGACAATCGCTAAAATAATTTTTCTTCTTTTTTAATTTATTTATAGAAAATGAGTTTTGAAATAGTGAATATTTTTTAGATATGTAGTTCAAAAATAAAAAAGTTTTAGGTTTACGTACAAAATACTTTATTGTGAGAATATGTAATTGAAACTTGAAAATGAATTTGATGAAAAAATTTTATTTTAATTGTTGTCAAACAAAGGCATGTATGTAAAACATTTTATTGCGAGAATGTATGGTTAAAAATGAATTTTGGAAAAAATAATAATTTTCGAAGAGTGATGGACAAACAGATGCTATGTCCATAAAGAGTAATGCAATTTAGCACTATATGTGTTTAACACCAATTTAGATGACACCATTACCGGGATTAAATTACGGGTTTAATTAAATATAAAGAATTACGATCCATTTAATAAAATTTATGATATATTGACACATAAACTACTTTTTAACCATATATTCTTTAAAAAATTACCAATTAAAACAATATTTTTTTCAAAAAAAAAGGGTCATCAAATAAGGGTTATGTGATTAGAAATCACCATTCCAATAATAAAATATATAACTTAAATTAAAAAATTAGTAGAATAAGAGAGTTACAAATAAAAAAGAATAAAATACAACATAATTTTATGGAAAAAAGAAATATTTGAAGGATATTTTTAAAGGACTCAAATATGATTTGATCCACATAATTATGGACAACTTGATCATACCTGGCCACCGACACACAGCAATGACCTACAAAACATGCAAAACGAGAAGCATTAAAAATATCTCAAATAATGATGCGCATGGTAATTTCTTATTCTTCTATTACTTGTGTTAAATATTGAATTTGTAACTTTTTTGTTAGAGTAAATACTATTTGTACATCGTGATTTACAGATTAATATACAGGACACGGAAGAGAGAGAAAGAGAAATAAAATAAGGAAAGATAAAAAGTCAGTTAATATAGAACTTGTTTGGTAACACTAAAAATCCAATTAAAATTGAAAATATAGTCGTTATTGGGTCTCACTCGTCTAATAAAAGTCAATAATAACGGCTAATTTTTTAATTTTAATCCGATTTTAATTTCTACCAAACACACTCATAATTCTTTAAATTAATCTGTATATCATGATGTACAAATCACATTACTCTTTGCCATTATGCCGACAAATCCATGCTGCCTACGAACTCACCCCCATTGTCAACATTTAATATCCTTATCTTTTTATTTTTAAGCTACCCATCCCCAAACTTTTCACAAATTAGGAAAAATTATCCCATTGACAGGTCCATCTAATTAATGTTTTTTGGTCTAAAAATAGTGCTGCCATTCGGGTCCATCTAATAGAGAAAGGTTGGACTTATTCCAACGAAAGAAATCGTCTAGAACTAAGTACCAAAACTTGTCAATTTTGGCATCAAAGATCATTTTCCGAATACAAAAGAAAGACCCCATCGTGGGGCATTCACCTTACACGAAGAAGATTGTATTGCCCATGGACCGCGGATTATGATAGTGGTAAATTCCCCCAGCATGTGAACCTCATTCTTCTATCAATTCAAATGAACAAAAGAAAATGAAAAAAAAAAAAAACAAACAAAAACAACAAGTAAACGAGCCTAAAACAAAATAAAAATACCCGAAACCCTTCGTCTTCTTCCTTCACCCCTACACAAGCTCGCTGCCGGTTGCCACCAGGGGTAGACCCCGGGGTCCTAGGGGGCATATTTATAAAAATTGGCCAATCGGGCCGGAAAACCGGCGGCCCAGACCCTTGAGCGGGCAAGACAGAGTCATTTTATAGAAATGTGCTTGACTCGGTCAAAATCCGATTGAGTTAACCGACGATTTACTGGCCTCGTTGACCGGTTTGATTGAATTTTAAAGTTCTCTTACAAAATTTTTAGGTCTAAGGAAATTTTACATTGGACCTCTAAGAAAAAATAATGAATTTTTCACCACTTAAACTAAAGTACTTCAGTAATATTTGTGTGCAATTACGTATATCTATCTAATGAATCATTTATAACTTTTTTAAAAATATTCTTTTAAAAAACTTTGGTCCAATATTTTACTATATTTTATAGACCTAAATAATTAGTGAAAAATAAATTAAAAATTTTAATTTTGTCCCTAAAAAAATTATACT